ATAAAAGAGTTTATTTCAGCTCATAGTAACCTATAGGACAAAGTTTCATAGGCTTTCTGAGGCTGTAAATCTATATGGAGGCAGATTGCTACCTCTCTTAAAAAGACAAATAAACAAACAAAAAATAAAAAACAAACAAACATAACCTCCCCTCAGAGTGAAACAACAGCTCAGCCCAGAGATCCCACAGGTGGGCATTGCTGTCATAACTGTAGGAGCCAGGATGATAGTGGCCTTTGTGTGAGACTATATACTTGGTATATATGTGAGACTATATACTTGGTGTATATGTAGAGAGACGGCAGTAGGAACAGGCACCAGAACAGAATCCTAGAGAGCAAAATTTCTCAAGGTGAACATTGAAAATAGGTAAAGGCAAGCAATGAGATATGATTTTGAGGCATGGAGGGTAAGGTGATTAAAAGATTCTCACTGGGAAAAATCAATTTATCCTTTCTTTCTGATCATTTTGAAAGCTTGTTCTCCTATCAATTCCATATAATTCCTTGTTAGAGACCTGAAAGATTTCCCCTGGGACACCCAACACTTGTGCCTCATGGAGCCTGGTGGAACCCAGAAGTCCAACCAGACGTTGGTGACAGAATTCTTGTTGCAGGGATTCTCAGAGCACCCAGCACTGCGGCTGCCACTGATCAGCTGTTTCCTGGTCCTCTACACTGTGGCTTTCATTGGCAATACTCTGATTGTTGCTGTAGTGGGATTCAGTGCCTGCCTCCACCGTCCCATGTATTTCTTCCTGTCCAACCTAGCCACCATGGACATCATCTGCACCTCCACAATCCTGCCCAAGGTGTTGGTAGGTTTGATTGTGCAGGATAACACCATTTCCTATATGGGCTGCATGGTCCAGCTTTTCTTCCTTATTTGGTCTGCATCTTCTGAGCTACTGCTGCTATCAGTCATGGCCTTCGATCGCTATGTGGCTATTTGTCGCCCACTGCACTATGGTTCCATCATGAGCCCACGAGTGTGCACAGCACTGGCTGGAGGTGTATGGGCTATTTGTGCCCTGAATGCTTCCATCAACACGAGTCTGATGGTGCAACTGACCTTCTGTGGGCCTCACATAATTGCCCATTTTTTCTGTGAGATCCCCCCACTGCTACTTCTTTCCTGCAGCCCCACTTGGGTGAACAGCATCATGACTGTTCTGGCTGATGGCTTCTATGGCTTCACCAACTTCATGCTCACTCTGACCTCTTATGGCTGCATAGTGACCAGTATCCTGCGCATCAGCTCAGCTGAAGGCAAACGTCGTGCATTCTCCACCTGTTCCTCCCACCTGATGGTGGTCTGTGTGTACTACACTGCTGTCTTCTATGCCTACATCAGTCCAGCCTCCAGCTATATCCCTGAGAGGAGCAAAGTGGCAGGGGTGCTGTACACTGTGGTGAGCCCTACCCTGAACCCGCTCATCTACACTCTTCGGAATGCGGAAGTCCATCGTGCTCTCGGCAAATTCCTCCCCTTCTGTCGAAGGTGACCTGGAGCTAGAACTCATCTCATTGTCCTCCTTCTGGCCATCATACCATAACTGAACCTTGCGTGGGCACATGTTGGAGGTGCGGCTTTGCTAAGTGGCTCTGATTTGCTTGGACTCGTGGCCAGTTCTCCTTCCCCTTGACCAGATTCAACTCTAGGAAAAAGAGAGTATACAGATTAGAGCTCTTGGTGGATACTATCTAATACAGGTGACCCTTATGAACCCCTGACCTATAAAACAGCCCCCATGCCCTTCTGGAGCAATTTATTCTTTTCGGTTCTCTATTTCCATATCCTTATGCTGTAAGAGCAAGAAGCATGGTCATAAGCACCTGCACCTCCTTGCTCACTTGTGCACTACTAACTTGACCCCCTTCCTTTTAAACCAGTCTTACCTAGTTGAATGCAGTATCTCTGGACCTTCCATCAGCCCAGCCCTTTCCTCTGACTGGAGTCCCCACCAACTGCTGTGAACTCTAAGTGCAAAACGCTACTTCAAGTCTCTTTCAGAAGATCTGAGTTGCTCTCATGAGGTTCCTGTCTGGTGTTGGTGTTTCACAGATGATGAATGGGACTCAGTTGTGACCCTGGCCAGGGCCCTGCACAATGTCTGAAAGCACTCTGAGGCAGCCATCTCTGTCCAAGTGACCATATCACATGGCGGTGCGTCTGAGGGGGGAGTCCTCCTGTATAAAGTTCCTATCTTACCTATTTGTCTTCAGACCTGGTCTTAACTGAAGATAGGCCCTGGATAGAGGTTGATCATCTTCTGGAGCAGCTGTTTAATTATCTGCACAACCACCTCCTTTCCAAGATCCAGGCCATGGTCTTCTCAATTGATTCCTGTGCATCAGAGAGCTGAACAATGACTAGGGATGACAGAAGAATTGATGTCTGTGAGTTGTGGTGCTGGAAAAGAGTATTGAACATACTACGGACTGCCAAAAGAACTAACAGTTTTGTCCAGGAAAGAGTGAAATCAAGTTGCTCCTTGGAGGCGAAGATTTTGAAGCTCCATCTCATGTACCTTGGGCATGTTGCAAATAGAGACCAGTACTTGGATTAGGACGTCATGCTTGGAAGGGTGGAGGACAGCTCAAGAAAAGAAGACCATGGTGGAGATGGACTGACAGTGTAACTAGTGTAATGGGAGTAGGAACCTCAGAGACAGTGAAATTGACTTAGGATAGAACAGGGTTCAGGGCTATCACAGCAAGTCAATGGCACATTGAACGTGGATCTCCTTAATCAGGTTCTCATACTTTTAGATCGCTCTGCTCTGCCCTGATTACCCATGGCCAGATATCTACTGTCTATGGATAGCCCCTCCTCTTGAACTGATGGAACTATTTAAAGTGTCCAAACTCAGGATGCCCAGAAAACCAGCTATCTGTCTGCTATGCATGAAACATCTTCTATAATTCCAGTTTATTACTGTATGACCCTTCCCATGTCCCATGTTCTCTTGCTCATTTTTTGCTAGCATAAATCCTTGGCTGTGGCTACACTAGTCTTTTCATGAAACTTTAAATAGATCTTTTATCCCATGTCATAAGAATTGGGCTGCTCAGATTGTTGTTGTTGATTGCCATTGAGTCGAGCACAACTCATAGCAACCCTATGAACAGAAGGCCTGAAGCCCGCCCACAACCATCACCATTTATCAAAGTTCACAGAGTTTCCAGAGGCATACTGTTTAGGAAGTAGATGCCATTCCTGCTTCCAGATGAGAAGTTTATCATTTCACCCATAATAGTCTGACCCAAAGGGATCTCTGGTAGCCTAGTGGCAAGAAGCTGCACTGCAATCCCAGAGGTACATGGTTCAAATCTACCAGATGCTCTGCTGGAGAAGGAGGGGCAATCTCCTCCTGTACCAGTCAGCTCTGATTTGACAGTACACACACACACACACACACACACACACACACATTATTTTAAAAAGTGCAAAAAGAAATAGTCTGATCTAGGAGGAACAGCTCTGGGTGGGTGGTTATGCTATGGGTGACAGGAAATGTGCAAGGGGCTAGAAGCTTCTGTTGGACCCTTGAGTGAGTGTCCTACACAATTGATAGTTTCATGCATTCTTGTTAATATAAAACAATAAATATGACGTGAATTGATCTTATAAACATGATACTGTGTTAAGCAAGCCAGATACCAATAGAAACATATTGTGGGGTCCCATTTATAGAAATATGTAGACTAGGCAAGTACATAGAGACAGAAAGTAGTCTAGAGGTTACTAGCACTGGAGAATTGGGAAATGAGTTATTTCTTAACAGGTACAGAGTTTCTGTTTGGGGATGAAAAGGTTTTGAAATCAAATAGAGGTAATTGTTGCTTAACATGTTGAATGTGACTAATGTCTCTGATTGTATACTTGAAAATGGTTAAAATGGCAAACTTTGTGTTATATACTTTACCACAATTGAAATAAGCAAACAAAAAAGTATTAATATATTATGTCTCAATTATACGGAGGTAGAAATTACACAAACTGACTCTCTAGTGGACTTTTAAGACTGAAAATCACTTGAAAGGAGATTACTTATGTTTCTTTTGTGGAGCTACTGGTGAAGGTGAACCATGTGCCTTTGTATTGGCAACACAACTTCTTATCACTTAGCCATCCAAGATCCTTTGTAGTTGTTGTGTGTCATTGAGTCAGAACAAATACATAGCTAACACTCCAGCAGGTTTTCAGAGGCAATAAATTGCATGGAAGGAAATTGTCTGTCCTTATTCCACGGAGCAGCTGGTAGATTTGAAATGCATGCTTTGGGGATTGCAGTGCACCTTCGTACCGGTAGGCCATCAGAGCTCTGTATCCAAGGTCCTCCAATGGAAATGAATTCTGAAAAACAGTTTTGATACAAATTTACTATATTATTGCTGTTGTTCAGTGCCATTGAACCAGAATCGTCTCATAGTGGACCCTCCAGTGGATTTTCAGAGACAGTAAATCACATAAAAGGAGCCTGCCCATATTTCTCCTGAAGAGCAGCTGTGGATTAAAACGGAATACTTCTGGATTGGCAGTTTAGTTGCTTACCACTAAGTCACCAGAGCTCCCTCAAATTCACCATATGACCACCCAAATTAGACAAAAGCTTGTACACAAAATGTTAGTAGTATATGGAAACGATACGTTTTCCTTAGACTAAAATCAACTATCTTTCAACAAGTAAACAGCTGATGCATTTGTACAGTAGAGGTTGTTGTTGTTGTTAGGTGTCAATATTGAGTATGACTAATAGAGACCCTATAAACAGCTGACCTGAACCCTGCCCTATCCTGTGCCATCCTCATCATCTGTGACAGACTAGAACCCATTGCTGAAGATGCTGTGTCAATCCATCTCATACTATTAAAAATAAAATGAATGAACTATTGAAATAGGCAAGTTTCTGGTTCACCTCAGAGGCATTTGGGTAAGTGAGAGAATTGAGGATAAATAGGTTTGATCCTATTATGTGGCAGTCTTTGAACTCTACTGATAGGGCAGGTCATGGTTGCCTATGACTGGGTAGAGACTGTAGAACTATAAGCAATAATCTTGATGGATTTTTTTTGAGATGATGGAACTGTTTTGTATCTGATTATGGTAGTGGCTATACAAATTGATACAAGTGTTAAAATTCATAGATCAAATGTAAATTGGTCTATTTTACATAATACCTGAAAAACAAAAATAAAGTAATAAAAATTACATAGGATGTCTGTTTAAGAATTTGGTGGTATTTTTACCAACATCTCTTCACTTGACAGTAACACAAAATATCAAGGAAATAAATAGTAATAAAGAAAATTCCAAAATGAAACCAACAGAGGAAGTGCTCCAAACACAACTCTCAGAGTAAGCATCTCTCGTAACTGCTAGAAGGCTTCATCTAGCACAGGAGAAGGTAGGGATAAAGTCCTCTTATCTTCTTAAACTTCCCCCGGATTTGAGAATCAGACCCAACAGAACCTGTTTAGAATCCCAAACTCAGGTCAGGGAAAGTTTTGGAAATCCAAGAGACCATAGACACCATGCTTTTGTCGTATGTTGTAGGGTCAGAACTAACACATAACTGACCCACCCTCCAGAAGGTTTTCAGTGACAGTAAATCACATGGGAGAAGACTGACCACTTTTCTCCAGTGGAGCAGGTGGCGGATTCAGATCAGATACCTTTGGGATCGCAGTGCAGCTTCTTACCACTAAGCCACCAGAGCTTCCTAGAGACACCATACAAGGATGAATTTAAGACCAACATTTTCCTGTTTCAAAAGGACAGAGATTTTCCTGTCTTCATTTTCTTTAAATATTTCCTTGAGAAATATTGAAATTGCAAGTTCTTCCCCCATTTCTTCTACATGTGCGTAAATCTTATTAAAAAAGAAATAAACTTATGGTCTGTGTTATGACCCGGAAATATTTTTTCCTGAGGATCTGGGGGCTTTTTCTTTAAAATACGGCTTTCTAGGAAAATGGAGTTGATCTCCCAATGACTCAGGAGCTTAGCTTGGATGACTTTCACAAAGATATGAGAAGCCTTCTTAGAAAAGTATGAGCTAATATATTTCTAGAGAACAGCACATATCAACAAATATTTTTAAATGATATTATTTCATGACTCATAGCAACCCTATGAAAAAAAGGACTGAAGCCTTTCTATAACTTTCGACATTTATCAAAGTTCATAGAGTTTCCAGAGGCATGCTATTTAGGAAGTGGATGTCATTCCTGCTTCCAAACCTGTCTTAAACTGGGAGTTCCACAAAACACTGTCCACCATGGGCAACCATTATGGCATTCGACACCCCAGTGACACAAGGTTCAGCATCACATCAACCCCAGGTTACCTCAGTACAGCATATTGACAAAAGATCGCTGTACCACTTAGAAGAATGTTCCTCCAAAATATAAGAACAACCAGATTTAAATACAAAGGCCCTCGCTGAGGTTTTGTTGACTTTAAACAAGAGGCTTAAAAACAAACAAACAAAAGAAAAAC